GAGACTCCAACTCAAAAAAAAAAAAAAAAAGAGGTCGGAAGGAGGATGTCAGCCCCCTTCTGCCATGTGAGGACACATAAAAGGTGCCATTTATGAGGAACAGGTTCTTATCAGACACCAAATAAGTTGGAACCTTGATCTTGGACTTCTTGGTCCCCAGAACAGTGAGAAATACATTTCTATTGTTTACAAATGATCCTTTCTAAGGTATTTTGTGATAGTAGCCGGAAGGGACTAAGTCAGTGTCACTCCAGAGCCCTGAAGGCACTCAAGAATAGCAGGAGGCTCAAAGGAGGCAGCTCTGTGGTCAGCTGGGGGTATCCTTCCTCAATCCAGAAGCCAGGGAGAAAGTCATCGCCACAAGGACATACCTTCCCTGGATATCCCAGCTCTGGACTGATCCCCACCAGGCTTCTTTACTGGGCAGACCAGCGCCACCACAGTTCTTTGTGTCCAATTCTAGTTAGTTCATCAGTGCTCTCTGACACCCTTATACCTGTTGTCCTTGCTCAGCACAAACAACAAGAGAAAATGGAGGGGGCACAGGAGCATATTTTGTCTAGGGTGGTCAAGGAAGTCTTCTTTGAAGAGGTGACATTTAAGCTGAGACCTCAAAGATGCAAAGAAGCCATTCATGTGATGATCTTCCAGACAAAGGGAGCAGCAAATGTCCTGAGCATGGCTCATTGAAGAAATTGTCAGAGGGCAGGGGACTGGAGGAGGGCGAGGGAGCCTTGAGATAAGTCTGGGGATGGGGAGAGAGGCAGGATCACACAGAATCTTATGGACCTTGATTGGGACTCTGGATTTCATTTTAGGTGGGACGCAACCCCATTGGGAAGTTCACTCGGTCCTCTATGTGGAGACCAGACTGAAGGCTGAAGTCAAGTCCAGATAAGGGCTGTCAGAGGCTTGGACTGGGCTGATAGTATCAGGGTGGATGGAGGGTTGGATGCGAGATATCTTTCGGAAATCGATCAGACAGGTTTTGGTGATTATTTGAATATAGGAGTTAAGGGAAGGAAGAATCAAGAACAACTTCTACCACCTTACATAATGGGGTGAATCATGTACCATTTATTGAGAAACAGGAAACTGAAGGAAGGTGGAGGGAAAAAAACAAGAATTAGGGGGGAGGAATTAGAAAAAAAATTCGAGTTCAGTTTTAGATCAACGTGGGTCCCACCATCAGCTGCTTTCTGCCCGTGAGGGGAGGCTGACAGGTAAACACATGTCATAAGAAAAGGTCGTGGGTGGGGGATGCAGGGGACCAAGAAGCACACTTGTGCCTCACTGGACTCAGAAACCCTTGTCCAACTGATCTCGCTTGTAATCTCTTTCCTCTCTGCCTTCATCCTGTTTTCTTCCCAGAACATATTCTTCATTATGCCACTTTCCTGCTCAAGAGTCTTTGATGACTACTCATTCCTTATCAGATGAAGTCCAAGCACCATGGCTTCACCTAGGTGAACATTTCCAGTTTGAGAAAATACTGTTGGCCCAGAGCAATGTGCGTTCCGGTGGGACAGCCTGTTGGCTGAGTACACACTGCCCTCTAGTGGTTGAAGGCCCAGAAGCTGCAAGCGTTCCCCCCCCCCTTTTTTT